TTTGAGTAGTTCGGAGAACCGGTAGTAAAAATTCTGACTGGCCCCACTCCCATCTATTCTCTGCCTCCCAGCTGATTAGGAGGAAATGGAGATTTTGCAGTAACCTTCCCCTGGAGTGGGGTGGGAATGGAGATTTTATAGTATTCTTCCCCTGCCACGCCCACCAAGCCATGCCCACCAAGCCATGTCACATCCACCAAGCCACACCCACAGAACCGGTAGTAAAAAAAAATTGAAACCCACCACTGCTATGGATGGCATATGCTGATTTCTGTGCAGGGTCTAGGCAGGATCCAAAAGGACTGGAAGACACCACACATCCCAAACATCAGGAATGTCCTCTCTTGCAATTGCCTGCCCTTTGGCTCCAATCTAACTGCCCCGTGCCTGTCACCACCTGAATATGTTGCTCCTCTCCCAATCGTAGCATCCCTCTCCTCTGGGACAGAGGCCCTTCTCTTCCCTCAACCATCCACATTCATTTAGCCAACAGGGCTGGGGATAGTACAGTGGTGGGTTTCAAAAATTTTTTACTACCGGTTCTGTGGGCATGGCTAGGTGGGCATGGCAGGGGAAGGATACTGCAAAATCTCCATTCCCTCCCCACTCCAGGGGAAGGATACTGCAAAATCCCCATTTCCTCCTGATCCATTGGGATTTGGGAGGCAGAGAATAGATGGGGGTGGGGCCAGTCAGAACTTTTACTACTGGTTCTCCAAACTACTCAAAATTTCCGCTACCGGTTCTGTCAGATAATTATCTGAAACAGTGCCACTGAACCACACTGTCTATACTGGAAGGATGGTTTTTTTGTTTATACTTTCCCTCCATTTTGTCTAAGGGACTGAAGGGGGAGTGGCTTAGCCACCCTATAAATATGACGCCCTTTAGCCACACACACAGGGGAGACACAGGGGAGACACACAGGAGAAGAGATTATGCTCTAGGCACATTTACCTCAGAAATAAATAAAGACCAAGATACAATGTTCTGTGATTTAAAATGTAAATAGTTTATTTAAATAAACAAAGTTTTTCTTGATAAAAGAAATCTGGCTTAATTGTAGCTGCTGGGACATTCCAAGATCTTATTGACCTCTACAACCTAAACTAAAAACTTTTCTAACAGGTTCTGTGGTCAGAACCTGCTGAAACCCATCTCTGGGGTGGTGGTGGCAGAAGGATACTCCAGGAGGACTTTAACTCTAGCCCTCATCAATGTTTGGAGCCCTCACTTGTTAACAGTCCCACCTGCACTCAACTTAGCCCCACCCCCAAACTGGTCTCTCCTATTGGCCAGTTGGGAGGGGGATGCATTAATAAACTGTGGGCCAGGAGAATCTTTGCACTGCTTAAGGCTGTGTATATGTTGCTTGTGTTCTTGGAGCAAGGTGCCCTGCTCATGGTCATTCATGCCCTCATGCCCTCCAGCCTGGACTACTGCAATGCCCTTTGCATGGAGGCTCACCTTGGAAGCTTCATCTGGGTCAAGATCCTGATGAGCCATATAGTAGCCATTATGTACTTTTCAGCCATTTTGATAGTTTGAATGGTTTTGCCCTGCTATAGACTAGACTAGACCAGACCAGACCAGACCAGACCAGACCAGACCAGACCAGACCAGAATAGACCAGAATAGACCAGAATAGACTAGAATAGAATAGACTAGACTAGACTAGACTAGACTAGACTAGACTAGACTAGACTAGACTAGAATAGAATAGAATAGAATAGAATAGAATAGAATAGAATAGAATAGAATAGAATAGAATAGAATAGAATAGAATTCTTTATTGGCCAAGTGTGATTGGACACACAAGGAATTTATCTTTGGTGCATATGCTCTCAGTGTACATAAGGAGAATAAAATACATTCATCAAGAATAAAAAGATACAACACTTATTGATAGTCAATATCACTAATAAGCTATCAAATCGTACTAGGAAACAAAAACAATATAATTGAAAGATACAAGCAACATGGTTATAGTAGTAAGTGGGAAGAGATAGGAAGGAAGAGAAGAAGAATAGTAATACAGTCTTAGTAAATTATTTGACAGTGTTGTGGGAATTAATTGTTTAGCAGAGTGATGGCATTCGGGAAAAAAAACTGTCCTTGTGTCTAGTTATTCTGGTGTGCATGCTCTATAGCGTCTTTTTGAGGGTAGAAGTTGAAATAATTTATGTCCAGGATGTGAGAGGTCTGTAGATATTTTCACAGCCCACTTTTTGACTTGTGCAGTATACAGGTCCTCAATGGAAGGCAAGTTCTGCAGTTTTAATTATCCATTGAAGTCTAGGATTGTCTTGTTGGGTTGCAGAACATAACCAGACAGTTATGGAGGTGCAGATGACAGACTCAACAATTCCTCTGTAGAACTGAATCAGTAGCTCTTTTGGCAGTTTGAGCTTTCTGAGTTTGCTCAGAAAGAACATTCTTTGTTGAGCTTTTTTGATGACGTTTTTGATGTCAGGTGTCCATTTTAAATCTTGAGATATGATAGAACCTAGAAACTTGAAGGACTCTACTGTTGATACTGTGTTGTCTAGTATTGTAAGAGGTGGTAGAATAGGAGATTTTCTTCTAAAATCCACCACCATTTCTATGGTTTTGAGTGTATTTAGTTCAAGATTATTCTGATTGGCTAGTTGTTCAACCTCCTGTCAGTATGCAGATTCATCGGTGTCTTGAATGAGACCAATCACTGTTGAATCATCTGCAAACTTCAGTATTTTAACAGATGGATCTTTTGAGATGTAGTCATTGATGTATAGGGAGAAGAGAAGTGACGAGGGCACACAGCCTTGTGGGGGCTCCTGTGCTAATTGTTCAGGTATCTGGTGTGATTTTGCTTAGCTTCACCTGCTGGTTCCTGTCTGTTAGGAAACTTATGATCCATTTACAAGTGTGGTCAGGTACAGCTAGCTGATTTAATTTAGGTATACATCACGGGTGGGTTCTAATTTTTTTTTACTATTTTTTACTATTTTTTTACTACTGGTTCTGTGGGCGTGGCTTATTTTGTGGGTGTGGCTTGGAGGTCATGTGACTAGGTGGGCGTGGCTAGGTGGTCAGAGTCATTTCTGGAAGGTCCTCGCACTTACGACCAGTCCTCGCACTTACGACCCGACTCATTTGTTTGCTTTTAACACTGATCAGCTGTAGGGCGGCCCTTTGAAGCCCCGCGGCAAGAGTTTAAACAGTTTTTTTCCCTCTAGTCATCAGCTGGGACTCAGGAGGCAGCAATAGATTGGGGGTGGGACCAAATAAAAGGTAAGAATAACGTGGGGGTGGGGGTGGGAGGGCGGGGGGGAGAACTGGTTCGGTGATGTCATATTGTCACCGCTACCGGCTCGGCCGAACCGGACCAAACCGGGAGGAACCCACCACTGGTATACATGTAAAGCTAAATGATAGATTAGATTCATAAAGCTGTCCTGTTGCTCTGCTATTTGAGGGATCAGCTGTGAGTGCTACATAAAACACAGGAAATGGAAAAATGGCAGATGTCTTATTTCCTGCTTATACCAGAGCTGAGATATGCTTGTTTTACTTTGTAATACAGTAAGCACCTGTTAAGGAGACACTGTTGAGGTTCTGATAACTTTGAAGTCACATGAAAGTTTTCTTGCTTTGTGGGTATGTATTCTTCTTCTTTCCATCTTTGGGCATACGACAGCCTTGCTGCTGATTTCATAAATAAAAACAAAGGCCCATGTTTTCTTTCCAATTCTTCATTGCCTAAAAGAAAAGCTTCAGGGTTTCATAATTTAAATTTCAAATCTTGCATCCACATTTCCCATTAATCAAGCATAATATTATAACCATTTTTTAAAGTCCTTTTAACCATACAATTTTTCACACATTAATCTTCAGAATTAAATTGCAATAACTTTATAAGCTTTTGCAATAAAATTCTCATCATTGGTGTTGTTGTTGTTAGTTGTGAAGTTGTGTCTGACCCATTGTGACCCCATGGACAACGTTCCTCCAGGCTTTCCTGTCCTCTACAATCCTCTGGAGTCCATTTAAGCTCATGCTAATTGCTTCAGTGACTCCATCCAGCCACCTCGTTCTCTGTCGTCCCCTTCTTCTTTTGCCCTCAGTCTTTCCCAGCATTAGGCTCTTTTCCAGTGAGTCCTTCCTTCTCATTAGGTGGCCAAAGTATTTGAGTTTCATCTTCAGGATCTGACCTTCTAAGTAGCAGTCAGGATTGATCTCCTCTAGGACTGACTGGTTTGATCACCTTGCAATCCAAGGGACTTGCAGGAGTCTTCTCCAGCACCAGAGTTCAAAGGCCTCAATTCTTTGGCGCTCAGTCTTCCTTACGGTCCAACTTTCCCAGCCATGCATTGCTACTGAGAAAACCATAGCCTTGACTATATACGCACTTTTGTTGGCAGGATGATGTCTCTGCTTTTTAGTATGCTGTCTAGCTTTGCCATCACTGGTGCAATTTCTTTTTTAATCTGTGAATGTATGTATGTATGTATGTATGTATGTATGTATGTATGTATGTATGTTGCACTTTAAATCTTTCAGGTAGTTGCATACATGAAAACCAGTATAGCTTTTTTCCCCCAATTCTTCTCTCGTTTCAAGTCTAAAATCCATATTACCCGAAAGCAACATGTCAGCTTGTGCTATCCATAGTTGTTTCACTATCATCTCCCTTCTAAAAAAAATGGTCAATTTGGGAAATAATCTTATTATTTCATCTCTGTTCCAAACTCTTAAGTATGTCATATCTAACAAGAGGCTTCTTCAGCACTACATTAACTTTCCATTTCTTGTAAATCACAATGTGAATCAAATCTCAGTTCACAATCTTAAAGCTCCTATAGATTACTGATTTGATCATATCTCTAAGCACTTCCTTTACATCTTTTGTGCAATAACAGTTAAAGTTGAAAACGTCAGAGACACATATTATACAAGTTCTTTTTTTCTCTCTCTCTCTCTCTCTTTCTGAAAAAGTTTGCAGCTTGGTCCTTCTCAATTCTCCTTTCGCATTGTAACTGCATCAAATCAGGATTCGTGGAAAAACATCCCAGCCTTAAGAGTCTGAAATAGATCTGCTGGTCTCTTCTGCAAATTCTTCCTTTCATCACCAGGTATGTCAGTAGTAAACATAGAGTTTCTGTTGTGGTAATTATAATTTGGAAAGTCCTCCTTTTTGAGTTCAGGATAGGACCTGGGGACCATCAGGATATGATCAGCAAATCCTGCAGGATTCTCTACCCAATAATGGACCTCAATATAACAGCAATATTCCTCTAGGATGGTATGACACCATCTCTCATCTCTCAGTCCAACCGATCTCAGTTTATATATATTTAGGAATTCTTTTCTTATGCTATTAATTGTTAGCTGGTACCTTTTAAAAGATTTTCTCTCAAATTTTAAATTCCTTTTTTTTATATATAGTTATTATATTGTTTTGCTGGTGTTTTGATTGGAAAAGAAGAACCTCACAATAAAGATTAGTGTCGACATTAATGTTCATAGTTTGGGCATGTTGTTTGGACTGCCTCGCTGATATTAATCTTGCTGATCAATGACAAGATATCCATTTTTGTAGAACAACGGAAAATTCATCAAGTACATCAAATCCTTTAGGTAGATTCTCAAAAGCTGCATCTTCCAGAAGCCATTAAGTTTTATTCTCCTCCCATCGACTGTTAGCTCTGACTTTTCAAAGATTTTTGCTCAGTTTTTTTAAACATTCCTTTTTAATAGTTATTGTATTTGATAGCGGGTCTTTTGACTGCATTTGGGCTTGGACTCTATATTTGGATTGCTTGATGGACTAATTTTTAATTTGGTATTTCTTCTTTCTCCTTCCAAGTTCTGATTCGATTTTCAAACATTTCCTTTGTGTAAAATGCGTACAAATGTTTTCTCATTCCTGGTTTATAGCAAAATGTAAAATAAGTTCTTCTTCTCTTTAATGTGGAAAATCTACTTCTTTTGCTGAATAAATTTTGCTTTTCCCGCACATGCTTTTTGGAAAAATCCAAATGGATACAAATGACATTTGATCTCTGTTGACTAAAATAAGGGTGAGTAGTTTGTTCTTTAGCTGTCTAGACTCGTCAATATCCCTCAGCAAGAAGCAGAAACCAAAAAAATAAAACCCAAAAGAAAAAAATAAACATAAGTTTCATTTCCACAGAAGATCATGACCAATGCAACAAACATCTTCTCTGGAATAATGGATGCTAAAGTGAAAAATTTAAGATTCAATAATACCGAGGACAATTTCATTCTTGCCATACACTCAAAGGGCAGCATTTCTGAGCCTGTATGTCTCCAAAAGGTCATCTGTTCTTTAATCATTTTAATCTGTATTCCAGAAATTATTGGAAATTGAATTATCATCAGAGTTTTGCATTTCCAAATGAAGAGGACTCCTTTTATCATCTATATATCTTCAATTTGGCTGTGGCTAACTGTGGGATTCTCATGTTTGTGTCTGTCTCTGCAATTCGACACTTAACATCTGAAGATTCCCTCATAGAAAAAAAAATAGAAAGTTTAGCATGTACGTACTGCACTGGTCAATTTCTTCTGACAATCATTAGCATTGACCAGTGTTTTGCAGTCTTCTTCCCAATTTGGCATAGATGCCATCAACCACTATACTTGTCCACTGTGCTTGGTGCCATTACATGGATAGCCTCTATCTTCTTCTGTGCAGTTCATTGCACTCTGATTTTGGTTACAGGTCTTTGAAAGTTTCTCCAATACTTCCTTATTCTCATATTTACCTCACTTTGCATCTCAGGGCCAGACTGGTGGTTTCCAGTCTGGCCTTCTTCATCAAAGGCTACAAGAAATCATGAATGAAGAGGTGAGGAAAACTTCTGGTAGCCATTTTGTTTGCCCTTGTTTTCTTCCTCATCTTTTCTATTCCACCAAGTGCCATTTATCTCATCAGCATTATTTCCAATACTGTATATTTCAATTTTATTACCTATAGCTATTTATGTGCCTGTCTAAACCGCAGTGTTAACCCACTGATCTATTTTCCACTGGGGAGAAGGAAATGGCATCGTTTTACGTACAACCTAAAAATAAGCTTTCAGAGAGTTTTTAAGGAGGAAGAAGGGAGTAACCAGAGGTCCAGAGATATGCTGTTCTCACAAGAGTGAAAAACTTCCATCTTTCTATAGGTTTCTGCCAGCATTTATGTTACATTCAGACAACCCTGTTGTGGCTAATACAGGATAAGATGATATTTAGCGCCAAGGAAATTAAGAAATAATCTGTCATTTTTTTCAACCATAATCAAATGTCTGGTTTCAAAGACATTACAAAGAGATTCTATTCAGATGACTTGATGAAATGGCACAATTATTCCTCATTTTTTAAAAAGTTCCTTTTTTTATGGTTATTATATTGTGTTGATGGTCTTTTGACTGCATTTGGTCTTGGGCTGTAAATTTTGATTGGTTGGTTGAGGGCTGGGAAGGATTACACTTGTTTTCGGCAGATGGCAAACCCACAATGATTTTGAATCTCAATCCAAGAACACAATTCCCTACACCATTTTGACCATCACAGGAACAGTCAAGTTTACTTTCTTTTAATAATTGTATTTCCCCTTAAATTGCAGTGTCTTGAATTGTCTACCTTAACTTTGATCTGAATTTCTCCAAACAGAGAAACAACAATTCTTGTACAATGGAGGAAGAAATTATTTCCCTAGAAGGTAGGAACATCTAAACTATATTATATATCATCTTACTTTCCTTTCTGAGTACAGCTGATGAAGAAATCTCAAGTGTTCATAATACTCCATAAATTTATTCTAAAATTCAAACTCTAGTATGAGATCATGAGTCCCTCTTGTTCCTGCACATCCTGGGATTGGAGGGGAAGGGATTTTGAAAGCATAAAATGTATATAAGGAAAATCTTTATAAATGTTTTATAGGTGGCATTTGCCACCAGCAAAACTAGCAAAAATGTTTAACAACATGTCCACCAAATGTTGGAAATACAGTCAACCTCTAGGTACTCATATTATTTATTTATTATTTATTATTTTATTTATTTGATTTATATGCTGCCCTTCTCCGGAGACTCAGGGCGGCTTACAATGCGTTAAGCAATAGCCTTCATCCTTTTGTATATTTATACAAAGTCAGCTTATTGCCCCCACAATCTGGGTCCTCAATTTCCCTACCTTAGAAAGGATGGAAGGCTGAGTCAACCTTGACCCTGGCGAGATTCGAACCTGCAGTAATTGCAGGCAGCTGGTCTTAATAACAGGGTGCTTTAGACCACTGTACTACCAAGGCTCTTATGTGGTGGACATGTATGAAAGCAAGAAAATATTGGACAAAAAATACATACATGGTTGGAAAAGATGATTAAGCAGCATATAGATTTAAAACCAGAAATATTCTTGTTAGATAGAATACCAAAAATCTATGACAAAGGGGCTATATATTTAGCGCTACATGTATTGACAGCAGCGAGAATTGTATTTGCACAATATTGGAAAAATGAGAGCACCCCATCAGATGAAAATATATTTCGGAAAATATTGGATTGTGCAGAGATGGATAGATTGACATTGAAAATGAAAGATAAAGGAGACACAGAGTATTATTTAATGTGGAAAAGGTTTTATCAATGGTTAGAGATAAGAGGTAGAAATTAGATGAAGAAAGAACATTGTTATGTTCGAGTAAAATATGAATGTTGTTTATAACTATAGGTTTATAGTTAGTTATAGTATGCTAATATAACTAACAGGATTATAAATAAGCTAATATAATTATAAATATGGTTAGAATTATTCTGTCACTATTACTATCAGTATATATGTTACTTTTTCTTTTCTTTGGTATGCCCAGACAATACACTGTATCCAAAATACTTGACTTTAAAAAAAGAAACAAAATAGCTTCCAAGGGAATTATTCATTAACTAAATCTTATAGAGAATTTAGAAATATGGACACATTGATACCTGCCACTTCCTGCAGGTATCCAGAAGTCAAACTCCATGTTCTTCAAGAAAACATTAAGAACAAGAAATGTGATTGGAGGTCCAGAACCATTCTGGAAATGAAGGAAAAACAAGGATGGGAAAAATAGTTTCCTTTTCAAAAAGAGCATTTTTGAATTAGTTATCAGGTTAAATAATTTCTGGGCCTCTTAAAGAGGACCATTGGAATTGAGTATTGGCTATGACTATCTGGGCAAGATAGTCAAGGAAAAAACAAGGAAAAAAACCCATTGGGGATTATTTAATTGGGAACTATTCACATTAGGCTGCACTACTATGACTATTAGTCTTCTCATTGTTCCTATCACTCATCTCCTCCCACTTATGACTGCATCACTGTAACTTTGTTGCTTGTATCCTTATGATTCATATTGCTATTGATTGTTTCCTAGTATGATTTGATTGCTTATTTCTACCCTATGACTATCATTAAGTGCTGTAACTTATGATTCTTGATGAATGTATCTTGTCTTTTTATGTACAGTGAGAGCATATGCACCAAAGACAAATTCCTTGTGTGTCCAATCACACTTGGCCAATAAAGAATTCTATTGTATTGTATTGTATTGTATTGTATTGTATTGTATTGTATTGTATTCTATTCTATTCTATTCTATTCTATTCTATTCTATTCTATTCTATTCTACCCTATTCATTTTCTATTCTATTCATGCATACACGGACTCCCACTCAGAAAGATACTGAATCAGAGGTGGGTTTCAGCAGATTCTGACCAGTTCTAGAGAACTGGTAGTGGAAATTTTGAGTAGTTCGCAGAACCGGTAGTAAAAATTCTGACAGGCCCCGCCCCCATCTATTCTCTGCCTCCCAAGCCCCAGCTGATTGGGAGGAAATGGGGATTTTACAGTATCCTTCCCCTGTGACGCCCACCATGCCATGCCCACCAAGACATGCCCACAGAACTGGTAGTAAAAAATTTTGAAACCCACCATTGCACTGAATGTATGGAAGAACTTTTTAAAACACATTAACATTTTTGCTGCCTGCTGCTATTGATCATAATCTTGACTTGCTATAATTTCTTCCTTAGATGATGATGACTTTGGTGGAAGTGGTGGCTTTTATAATATTTCACCTACATCCCTCAATGAGTAAGTATATTATGGTAGAAAACATTTTCTTTGCAAGAATGGAGTTAGCCTTCCAATTGTTTCATAAGATTCGACTGTCAACTTGCAAAGCTTTCAATGGCGTTGCCATGAGCAGGAGGGAGGGAGAACTGAAGTGAATTCCATACATTCTTCCTGACCGCAATCAGAAGGAGGGTGTTAGGTTTCACAGCCAGCCAAAGTGGTTAATTGGAGAATGTGATTTATGACATGGCCAGAGGGGAGGGGAGAGACAGGGTCATAGGGGAACGTAAATCTACGTGGGATCAGTCCTGACTGCATCCGAGTATTGCCGGAATGTTGCTCCTAATAAATCACTATATTTCCTTTGAAGTTTGGATCATGGCTCATGAATTAATTAGGGCATCTTTCGGAAACTTGACATCTACAAGGACAATTTCTCCCCTGCTCTGCCCATTGCGTTGCTAGAATGGGAGCACTTTGTGATGGATGGAAATTCTTCAACTCAGCTTGCTCTTAACCCACTTTTGGTGAATGTCCAGACCATGACTGTAATTTTGTTGTTTGTATCCTTACGATTTATATTGATATTGTTTCCGGATTGCTTACTTGCACCCTGTGACTATTATTAAGTGTTGTACCTTATGATTCTTGATGGATGTATCTTTTCTTTTATGTACACTGAGAGCATATGCACCAAGGACAAATTCCTTGTATATCCAATCACACTTGGCCAATTAAAAAAATAAAATCTAATCTAAATTCAATGAGGACTTTCGGATTTCATGCAGGAGCAGACAAAGGACAAAGTTCCCCAGAGAGTGGATCATCACCATTTGACTCTTAACAGGACATGGACAGATGATGTGAATTTGCTAGTCTTCATAATGCAAAAATGTTAATTTTCTGGAGGAAAGATGAGATGGAAGTGGAATAAATACCATATTTTTCAGACTATAAGACACACTTTTTTGTCTCAGAAAAGAGGGTGAAAATGTTTGTGCATCTTATAGACCAAATATTGCCCACCCACCCACCCACCGGCCATTTTTGGGCCCCCGCACGACCCATTTTTGGGTCATTTTTCAGCCTTTTTCAGGCCATTTTAAGGCTTTTTTGGCCCATTTTCAAGGCTTTTCAGGCCATTTTCAAGGCTTTTTTCAGCCCCCCCTATTTTAAAAAAAAATAAGCCAAAAAAGCGGGCTGAAAAAAGCCCCCAAAATGGGCCAAGAAAGCCTCAAAATGGGCCGAAAAAAGCCTCAGAAATGGGCCAAAAAATGTCTGGAAAAAGCCCAAAAAAAGCCCAAAAATGGTGCCTGCAGAGGCCAAAACCTTTTGTTTTGTTTTCCTCTTTTAAATTTAAGTGTGTCTTATAGTCAGGTGTGTCTTATAGTCCGAAAAATACAGTAAATTAAAGTTGTGAATTTGCAGTTGTTAAGATTAGGTATTAGATGAGGGGTGAAATCTAGCAGGTTCCTCCAGGTTCTGGAGAACCAGTAGCAGAAATTTTGAGTAGTTTGAAGAACTGGTAGAGGAAATTTTGAGTAGTTCGGAGAACTGGCAAATACCACCTCTGGCTGGCCCCAGAGTGGGATGGGAATGGAGATTTTGCAATATCCTTCATCCTAGGAGTGGGGAGGGAATGAGTATTTTGCAGTATCCTTCCCCTGGAGTGGGGTGGGAATGAGGATTTTGCAGTATCCTTCCCCTGGAGTGGGGTGGGAATGGAGATTTTGCAGTATCCTTCCCCTGGCATGCCCACCAAGCCACGCCCACCAAGCCACACTATGCCCACCAAGCCATGTCCACAGAACCGGTAGTAAAAAAAAATATGGATTTCACCAGTGGTGGGATTCAGCTAGTTCGCACCCCTTCGGGAGAACCAGTTGTTAACTTTCTGAGCAGTTTGGAAAACTGGTTGTTGGAAGAAATCATTAGGGCAGAGAACCGGTTGTTAAATTACTTGAATTTCACCACTGTATTAGACCTGGTTAAATATGTTATGTGAGCCCAACATGGGTCATTCTGAATCTACATTTGTACATCCTGTGTCTTTTGCAATCCTTCACATTGGCTTTGCAAAGCTGTGTGGAGCAGATGAAAGTGCTCACCGCATAACTGTTAAGAACTTGGCAAAGCATCTGAATCTTTTCCCTATGCATGGTGCCTATAAGTGGCAGATTTTCTTCAAAGATTGCAGCCTTCAATGAGCTCAAATCCAACATGTAATACTGCTGAAGGGCCCTCAACTACCTTAGAAAAAGAGCAGGAGAGAGAGAGGGAGGGAGGAAATGGAAGAGAACTGAGCAGAAAGTAGAAGAGAGGAGATTCGTAGTGGTCCATTAGGAGCCCTGAAAAAAGAAACATGGACAAAATATACTCTCATTTAATATTAAAACCCTGGATATTCACTCATACAGTGCTGGTCTTCACGCGTGCCAGGAATGTGCTCTTCCGGTTTCTGGCACTTCCTCCCCGCCCACGCGCACTCCCGTTTCGGCACTTAGTACCAAAAAGGACCTAGCACTTCTCTAATAAATGCTAACCATATTTATTGGACTTAACAAATTTTAACTGAAATTGACACGACTTTAATCAGTTATCCACTGGAGGTTAACTGGTAGCACAAGGACAATCCTCTCAATCTTAGGGCATGCCTTCTGCCACCAGTAGCCTCTCACCGACCAGTACGCTCCCTTACAGAGGGTCTTCTCAGGGTGCCGTCAGCCAAACAATGTCAACTGGCAGCCCCCAGGGGGAGAGCCTTCTCTATGGGGGCACCTACCATCTGGAACGAGCTCCCCCCAGAGATACGGAGGATCCTGGATTTGTGCACTTTCCGCTGTGCCCTCAAAACATTCTTATTCCAGCAGGCTGGTCTGGCCTAACCTCCCTTTTAAATTGTTTTTCATTTGTTTTATCAATTGGGGTGTTTTAAATTTGTTCATGGGCCAAAGTGTTTAATGTATTTTTAAATGGCTCAGGACCTGGGTACTTGCAGGACCACCTACTACCACCAATAGCCTCCCACCGGTCGGTATGCTCCCATAGAGAGGGGCTCCTCTGCGTGCCGTCAGCCAAACAATGCCGACTGGTGGCCCCCAGGGGGAGAGGGGGCACCTACTATCTGGAACGAGCTCCCCCCAGAGATACGGAGGATTCCGGATCTGCACACCTTCCGTCGCGCTCTAAAGACCTTTTTATTTCACCAGGCGGGCCTGGCCTAATTTTCTCCTTCTTTTATAAAAGAATTTTTAATTTTTAATATTTTTTAGTATTTTATATATTCAAATTTTAAAATTGGTTTTAAATTGATTGGGGTTTTAATTTGTCTGGGCCAAAACTATTTAATTTGATTTTAATTCTGCTTTTAAATTTTGTATGTATGGATTTTATTGTTGGCTGTTCACTGCCCTGAGTCCTTCGGGAGTAGGGCAGTATAGAAATCTAATAAAATGAAAAAAAAAATGAAAATGAAAAATGTTTTTTTAACGTTTGTATTATGTGTATTTTATCTCTTGGCTGTTCACCGCCCTGAGTCCTTCAGGAGTAGGGCAGTATATAAATTTAATAATAAATAAAAATAAATAATAAAATAAATGTCAAATTTCCTGCTTCAAACATTTCTAAAATATCAGAAATGTACTCTTCTCCATATGATCCATTATTTGATAATTTAGCACAAAACCTATTCAATGATATGAATATCTGAGCAGTTCACAGATTTTTGAGACAAGGACTGATTCTGTTTTCATCTCTTTCTGTTAACAGGTGCGATGATGTCTGGGCTGAATATTTTGGAATTACTCCTCTGCTTGATTTAACGAGCAACCTTCTCAATGGCTCCATTGCCATTATCTGTATTTTAGGCCTGGTGGGAAACGGAAGGACAATTTATCTTCTGGCCTATTCCATTAAGAGGAATCCTTTCACCACTTTTATCCTGAATCTCTCCATCGCTGATTGTGGGGTCCTCACATCCTTTATTATTGCAGCTGTTTTTGTGGCTGTTTTAACTCCGCATAAAAGCACTAATCTACTGTTTGGCTTTGTCTTCTTATTTCTTGAGCTCTTTTTCTTCACCTATTCTGCTAGATGGTTTCTGCTGATGGCCATCAGTCTGGACAGGTGTGTGGCTGTCCTTTTCCCACACTGGCATCGCTGCCGTCGTCCTCCATATTTGCCTAACCTTGTTTGTGGCCTCATCTGGATCCTCTGTTTCCTGCTCTCTGCCGTGCACCTCATTCTGTACCAAACTACCAACTTTGGAATGTCACTTTTCTTTTTTCAGATTATTGTGAATGGTTTACTTTGTACGCCTCTCATGGTTGTGTCCACTGTGACTCTCTTGATTCATATGAGGTCAAAATTGCAACGCAATCAAAGGAAACTTCTCATCACTATCTTGCTGGCTCTCCTCTTCTTCCTCCTTTTTTCTCTCCCAATGGATGTCTTTTATGTCATTGAATATTTAGGTTCCTATAATCCCCTCCTCATGACAGTTGGGATAGGATGTGCGGCTCTCAACAGCAGCATCAACCCACTCCTTTATTTCTTAGTTGGGAGGAAGAAGAAGGGAAAGGAGCAACTCAGAGCATCTTACAAGGTTGCTCTGCAAAGAATCTTCAAGGATGAGAAGGGCAGTCCAGAACATCAGAAAACTATGGAGGAGACCCATTTGTGAGGAGTCTCTGGCATGGTGTATTCATTCTTTAAAGTCCTAAATGATATGTGGGCTCATGAGGACATACAGAATTGATGGAATTTGCCAAACAAAATAGCTACGGTAATCACCAAACAATGTAAACAGGAAATATTGCTGCATGTGTAATTTTCAAAGAGAAGATGTTGAACAGAAAAATGTTTTTATACAAATCCTTTTTTAAAAAAAAAAAAAAATCATCATAACAACTCTAGAAATAATTCTTACCGAATGACATTTTTAAAATCAGTAATTTTCATCATTACTTATTTTCCAAGCTTTTGTCCCTAAAGCCCTTGGTAGAAGAATGTATGGTTTCACAAACAGGATGCAAATTTATATGTGTAATGAAAGAAACTGTACAGGGGGAAATGTGCTGAAATAAATAGTGATATTTTTTATCCTTAAAACCAGTGGTGAAATCCAATTTTTTTTACCACTGGTTCTGTGGGCATGACTTGGTGGGTGTGGTGTGGCTTGGTGGGCGTGGCTTGGTGGGCATGGCAGGGGAAGGATACTGCAAAATCTCCATTCCCACCCCACTCCAGGGGAAGGATATTGCAAAATCTCCATTCCCTCCACACATCTGTTAACAGTGGTGTCCCCCAAGGCAGCATTTTAGGACCCACTCTCTTTATACTTTATATAAATGACCTTTGTGATCATATTATAAGCAACTGCATTCTCTTCGCTGATGATGTGGCGCGACAGCTTCCTGGGTACCTGGATGAAGCTGTCTATCTGGATCTGCTCCAGTCCGGCTTCAGGCCTGGGTACAGCACGGAAACGGCATTGGTCGCGTTGGTGGATGATCTCTGGAGGGCTCGGGATAGGGGTTGTTACTCTGTCCTGGTCCTGTTAGATCTCTCAGCGGCTTTTGATACCATTGACTATGGTATCATGTTGGAGGGATTGGGAGTGGGGGCCACCATTCTGCGGTGGTTCTCCTCCTATCTCTCCAACCGGATGCAGTCGGTGTTGGCAGGGGGGCAGAGGTCGACCCCGAGGCGCCTTGTTTGTGGGGTGCCACAGGAGTCGGTCCTCTCACCCCTTCTGTTCAACATTTAAGTGAAGCCGCTGGGCGAGATCATCCGTGGCTTTGGGGTGGAGTTCCATCAGTATGCTGACGATACTCAGCTGTACATCTCCACCCCAGGCCATCCCAACGATGCCCTTGAAGTAATGTCCCGGTGCCTGGAGGCCGTGCGGGTCTGGATGGGGAGTAACAGGCTTCAACTCAACCCTTCCAAGACCGAGTGGCTGTGGCTTCTGGCATCCCGATATAGCCAGCTGGTGCCATCGCTGGCTATTGGGGGCAAGTTACTGGCCCCCACAGAGAGGGCTCGCAACTTTGGCATCCTCCTGGTGCTCTAGAAGAGCATGTGACGACCGTGGCCAGGGGGGCTTTTCATCAGGTTTGCCTGATTTGCCAGTTGCGTCCGTTTCTGGATCGGGACTCCTTACGCACAGTCACTCAGGCACTCGTCACTTTCCGTCTGGACTACTGCAATGCTCTCTACATGGGGCTCCCCTTAAGGAGCACCCGGAGGCTCCAACTGGTGCAGAATGCGGCCGCGCAGGGGATTATGGGAGCGAGGGGGCGCTCCCATGTGACGCCTCTCCTGCGTGAGCTGCATTGGCTTCCAGTGGTCTTCCGGGTGTGCTTCAAGGTGTTGGTTACCACCTTTAAAGCGCTCCATGGCATAGGGCCTGGGTATTTGCGGGACCGCCTTCTACTGCCGATAGCCTCCCACCGACCAGTACGTTCCCACAGAGAGGGACTCCTCAGGGTGCCGTCAACCAGGCAGTGTCGGCTGGCGACCCCCAGGGGGAGGGCCTTCTCTGTGGCAGCACCTGCCCTCTGGAATGATTTGCCCCCAGAGATACGCAGGATACCAGATCTCCGGGCTTTTTGCCAGGCAAAAATCTTTCTTTTCCACCAAGCAGGGCTGGCGTAACCCCCACCCCACCCCATTTTTTAAGATGTTAGATTTTTAATTGTCTATGGGTTTTAGTTGGGATGTTTTAAATTTTGGGCCAAAGTTGTGTAATTCTTTAAACCAATTTTAAATTTTGTATTGGGATGTTTTTTATTTTGGCTGTGCACCGCCCTGAGTCCAGCAGGAGAAGGGCGGTATACAAATTTAATAAAATAAAATAAATAAAATAAATGATGTAAAACTATTCAACACCACTGACAATGCTGCTACTCTACAAAAAGACCTTGACTATGTGTCAGAATAGTCAAATAATTGGCAACTCCAATCAGGCTGGGTGGATATGACCTAACAGACGACCCTCACTCTGTCAAAGACCTTGGAGTACTCATCTCAAATGATCTAAGTGCCAGAGCTCACTGTAACAGCATTAATAAAAAAGCATTAAGAGTTGTTAACCTAATCTTGCATAGCTTCTTCTCTGGTAATATTGAACTCCAGACTAGGGTATACAAAACTTTTGCCAGACCAATTCTTGAATACAGCTCATCTCTCTGGAACCCACACTGCATATCGGACATTAATACAATCGAACGAGTCTAGAGATATTTCACGAAAAGAGTCCTTCACTCCTCTGCTCGCAATAAAATACCTTATGCCACCAGACTTGAAATTTTGGGCTTAGACAACTTAGAACTTCGCCATCTTTGGTCTGACCTAAGCATAGTACATAAAATCATCTGCTACAATGTCCTACCAGCCAATGAATACTTCAGCTTCAACCACAACAATACAAGAGCACACAATAGATACAAACTCATGGTAAACTGATCCAAACTAGACTGCAGAAAATACAGTATGACTTCAGTAACAGAGTGGTCAGTGCCTGGAATGCACTACCTGACTCTGTGGTTTCTTCTCCAAATCCCCAAAACTTTAACCTTAGGCTGTCTACTGTAGACCTCACCCCATTCCTAAGAGATCTGTAAGGGATGTACATAAGCTCACCAGCGTGCCTACTGTCCCTGCCCTAATGGTTTTTTTATTATTATTCATAACCTTTTCATGTATTTATAATTATGTTTATACTTGTATTTGTCATAAAATGCATGCTTGACAAAATAAAAGAAATAAAAAATAAAAATAAAATAAACATTTACTGAAACAGCTGCAAGAAGACTACCAAGCTCACTCAGAGAACACCAGGGATACCAAAACAGTCAATTTCACCATCTCAGCTAGCTCCATTACTTTCAAATTTCATTCTTGCTTTGTGGGTATATATTCTTCTTTCCAACAATCTTGCCACTGATGTCATATATAAAAACAAAGACCCATGTTTTCTTTCCATCCATTGCCATCCCTAAAAGAAAAGCTTCGGATTTAACTTTTACATTTATTTTCAAATTCTTTTGAACCAAAATAGAACAGAATAGAATTCTTTATTGGCCAAGTGTGATTGGACACACAAGGAATTTGTCTTGGTGCATACGCTCTCAGTGTACATAAAATAAAAGATACGTTCGTCAAGAATCATAAGGTACAACACTTAATGATAGTCATAGGGTACAAATAAGCAATCAGGAAACAATATCACTATAAATCGTAAGGATACAAGCAACAAAATTACAGTCATACAGTCATAAGTGGAAGGAGATGGGTGGTGGGAACGATGAGAAGATTAATAGTAATGAAACTTAGTAAATAGATATCTGATATCAGAATTTCTTACCCTTCTTACATGCCATTCAAAGGTAGTAAAAAGTACCTTCACACTGTTTCAGACCTAAGGACAATTTAGGAAACTCTAAGCCAGTGGTGGGTTCCTCCCGGTTCCTCCCGGTTCTGCTGAGCCGGTAGTAGTGACGATATGATGTCACTGAACCAGTGCCCCCTCCCCCCGCGTTATTCTTACCTTTTATCTGGCCCCACCCCCAATCTATTGCTGCCTCCTGAGTCACAGCTGATCGTCTAGAAGGAAAAAAACTGTTTAAACTCTTGCCACTGGGTTTCAAAGGGCCGCCCTACAGCTGATCAGTGTTAAAAGGCAATTTGGTGGTAGACCGGTGCCTCCAAAAACAAATGAGTAGACCGGTGCCTGCAAAAATAAATGGGTAGACCGGTACAGCTCTGCAAGCAGTTAAAAGCCCGGTAGACCAGTACCTCTGCTAAATCCTAAAGAATTGTCACATGACCATCAAGCCACGCCCACAGAACCGGTAGTAAAAAAATTTAGAACCTACCCCTTCCCTAAGCTCTATTACTGAAGGCTTTTAAGAAGAGGATGGACAGTCATTCGTCTGAAATGGTGTAGCGTCTCCTGTTTCAGCAGGGATCGATCAGGAAGATCTCCAAAGTCCCTTCCAACTCCAATATTCTGTCTCTGGTGATTCTCAGTCATCCAGGTCATGGTTCTCCCAATGGTAATTTTTACATGAGGCAACTGGACTCTTTGGTTTTTCTTTGAAGAAGTTTCGCTTCTCATCCAAGAAGGTTCTTCAGCTCTTTAAAAGCTTCTCGGATGAGAAGTGAAACGTCTTCAAAGAAAAATCAGAAAGTCTAGTCGCCTCTGATATTCTATGTCCGTGATGGAGAACTTGTGGCACGTGTGGCCTGAAGTGGCACACGGAGCCATGTCGGCTGACATGCGCGGCATCGCCCGTTCCTCTTCTGAGTTTCTGGCGCATATGCACGTGCAACGATCAGCTGGCCTTCGTACATGCGGCAGTGTGAGAAACTGGAAAGTTTTCTGGTGTGGGCATGCACGCCAGCCAGCTGATCGTAGCGCATGCGTGCATGCCAGCAACTGGAAGACTAGGTGTCTGTTGCGCATGGTCATGCCCCAAACCGGAAGTTAATTTCCCGGTGTGCGCATGCGCGCACATGCCCCCTTTGCAGCTCCTCTTCCGGGTTGCATGGCTGATGAGTGCATGCACATGCGTGCGCTCCCTTTTCGGCACTCAGTTGCAAAAAAATCTCCGGGTGAGATTCAAGGTGCTGGTGATGACCTATAAAGCCCTACATGGCTTAGGCCCAGGATATTTGGCAGACCATCTGCTGCCAGCAACAGCTGCCCATCGCCCGGTGCGTTCTCACAGGGAGGGTCTGCTCCGGGTGCTGTCAGCTAGACAGTGTCGGCTGGCGACCCCCAGGGGTAGAGCTTTCTCTGTGGGCGCGCCCACCCTTTGGAATCAACTTCCCCTGGGGCTCCGGTTGGCTCCTGACCTTCGCACCTTCCACCGCAAATTAAAAACATGGTTGTTTACATCGCCCAGCCTAGACTGAGAGGGTTTTTAGATTTTGGGGGGTTTAATATAAATTATACATTATGTATTTTATATTTTTAACTTGTTTTATTGTTGTGAGCTGCCCTGAGTCCTCGGAGATAGGGCGGCATATAAATTTTATAAAATAAAATAAAATAAAATAAAATAAAATAAAATAAAATAAAATATAAAATAAAATAAAATAAAATAAAATAAAATAAAATAAAATAAAATAAAATAAAATAAATAATTAAATTAAATTAAATTAAATTAAATTAAATTAAATTAAATTAATAAATAAATAAAAAGGTTCACCATCACTGTTCTATGTTGTATGTCTAACAAGAGGATTCTTTTTTTTTTGAGAATTTTAATTTTATTTTAAAACAAAAACAAAACATAAAACCATCATCATTCCAAGCAATTACAGACAGTGAGTCGAATGGTTCATATTCTCTTGTGCATAAATCCATTTCTAAAATACCAATTTATAACAGAAACATATATCTTTTATAGAAAAAAAAAAACTTCAGATATTTTAGCTTTACATCAACCCCATATTTCATACTTCAATTCCATGATTTATTATCTATCCATTGATAAAACAAAGCCCATATCAAATAATATTGTTTATCTTCCTGTTCTCTAATTTCAAATGTCAATTTACTCATTTCAGCACATTCCATCATTTTCTTAATAATCTCATCATCAGTAGGTAACTTCTCTCCTTTCCAATTTTTAGCAAATACGATTCTAGTCTCTGTTAAAACATTCACAATTAAATATTGCAATTCTCTGTTATATGTTTCTGATAAAATCCCCAATAAAAATACAGTATCTCTGGTTTAAAGTCAATATGTTCCTTTGTTATTTTTTTCCAACCACATGTGTATCTTAGTCCAATATCTTTTAGCTTCTACACATGTCCACCACATATGGTAATATGATCCTGGAGTCTGATGACACTTCCAACATTTCTCCGATTTATTCTTCAACATTCTGGCTATCCTTGTCGGGGGTAGGTGCCACCTGTAAAACATCTTATACAAATTCTCCTTATATGCTGTAGATATTGTCATTTTATAATTCTGCGACCACAATTTTTGCCATTTTTCTAAATCAATACCACGACCAAAGTTTTCCCCCCGTGCTATCACTGATTCTTAACAAGAGGATCCTTGAGCACTACATGAATTTTTCATTTCTTATAAATCACCATGTGAATCAAATCTCAATTCGTGGCCTTTTCACTCCTATGACCCTTTATTTATTTTATTTATTTATTTATTTTATTTCTATACCGCCCTTCTCCCGAAGGACTCAGGGCGGTGTACAGCCTAATTAAAACACAAAGAAAGACAAAATTTAAAAATAATTAAAATTATTCAATAATAGGCCCGATTTATAAAATCCCAAATTTAAAATCCCATTTAAAACCAATTAAAATCTTTACATTGATAGCCCAGCCTGGCGGAACAACATGGTTTTGAGGGCACAGTGAAATACACGGAGATCAGAGATTTTACGAATTTCTGGGGGCAGTTCATTCCAAAGGGCAGGGGCTCCCACAGAGAAGGCCCTCCCCCTGGGTGTCGCCAGCCGACATAATTTAGCCGATGGTACCCTGAGGAGATATGATTGTACCTTTAATCATTTCCTTTGCATCTTGTGTTTAAGTTGCAAAAGCCAGAGATCCATATTGCACAACTTCCTTTTTTCTTTCTTTCTGAGAAAGGTTGCAATTTGGTTCAGCTCAATTCCTCTTTCTCACTGTAACTGCATCAAGTGCGGAACATCTGGATTCACTGAAAAACTCCCGTCACTCTCATCCTTACATCCTGAAAAAAGACTTGTTGGTCCCATCTGGAAATTCTTCCTTTCATCACCAGGTATGTCAGTAGTAAAGATAGAGTTTCTGTTGTGGTCATTGTGATTTGCAAAGTACTCCTTTTTTAAGGTAAGGATATAAGTTGGAGATCAACAGGATGAGATCAGCAAATCCGGCAGGATCTTCCTGCCAATAATGAAACTCAACTTCAATTTCAATTCAGAAGAGAGAAGAGATCTGGAAGGGACCTTGGAAGTCTTCTAGCCCAACTCCCTGCTCAAGCAGGAAAATGTATACCATTTCAAACAAGTGGCTATCCAATCTCTTTTTAAAAGCCTCCAGTAGTAGAGCTTAAAGTTTGATGCTTTGAGAAAAAAAGGTGATACCCTTTGTGGCAACCTCCCAAATACTGGAATAATGCTATCATATCATCCCTAGTCCTTCTTTTCACTAGACTTTTTTTTTTTTTTTTTTTGTGAAGAATGGAACCAAATCAACTCTTTTCCAATCCTCAGGTAATTCCTTGGTGCTATAACAAGAAAAAAAAGTCAAGGAAATATAAGAAAAAAGTCAAGGAAATGGTAGGTCCATTAAAAAAAGAATATGTCAAGGAAGTACCAGGCAGCAGAGAGAAAGCAGAACTGGTTAACTCATTCTTTGCATCACTCTTCATGCAAAAAGGAACTGTAACCCAGACTACCAAAAACCTAAACATAAATGACAGGCTAGAAATACCAATTAAAATAAGCAAAAAAATGGTTAGAGAATACCTGTCTTATTTTGATGAATATAAATAACCAGGACCTGATGGATTACATCCCAGAGTTTCTTCAAAAACGAAAACTAAACATATGAAGGAACTGGCAGATGTTGTCTCAGAACTATTGTTACCATATCTTTCAAAAATCCTACTGAAGATAGAAAAATCTTCAAAAAGAAACAAAAACTTTTATAGTTCTTTTAAAAGCCAGCACAGGTTTGTTAAAAAGAGACTATGCCAAACCAATCTTATTTTATTCTTTGACATAAGTGACTATATTAGTAGACCAGCAAAATACTGTGGACATAGTATACTTAGACTTCAGTAAGGCATTTGACGAAGTAGACCATAACTTAATTCTTTTTAAGGTAGAAATATGTGGAATAGATAGGATCACTACTGGATGGATTTGTAACTGGCTGACAAGCTGTACTCCGTGAGTAGTCCTTAATGGTAGTACATCTACATGGAGGGAAGTAAACAGTGGGGTACCACAAAGTTCCGTCTTAGGCCCAATACTCTTCAATATCTTCATAAATGACTTAGATGAGAGATAGAAGGGGAACTCATCAAATTTGCAGATGGCGATAAACTGGCAGGAATAACCAACACCAAAGAAGACAAACTCAGGCTCCAAAAGGACCTTGACAGAACTTGAACAATGGGCCCTATCAGTGGGGAAATCTAAAATTTGTTACTACCGGTTCTGTGGGCGTGGCTTGGTGGTGGGGGTAATGTGACTGGGTGGGTGTGACCAATTATTTTTCTTTTTTACTTTTCAAACCATTTTTTTCTATAACCTCTTTGGTGAAGAGGTTGTGAAAAAATGCTTTCAAAAGGCTCTGATGATCCCAGCTGAGTTGCCTGATCAGCAGAGGCTTTTTTTTCTTTTAAATGCCTCTGGCGATCAGGCAATTCAGCTTGGATCGTCAGAGGCATTTAAAAAAAAGTGTTTTTTTTTTTTAAATGCCTCTGATGATCCAAGCTGAGTTGCCTGATCAGCAGAGGCTTTTTTTTCTTTTAAATGCCTCTGACGATCCCAGCTGAACCACGCGATCACCAGGAGGCTTTTTTTTTTTTACTTTTAAAAGCATTTTTGGCTGAAGAGGTTGTAGAAAAAATGCTTTTAAAAGTAAAAAAAAAGCCTCTGATGATTGGGCGGCTCAGCTGGGCATGGGGGAGGGGGGCAGGGATTTTTGCTACCGGTTCTCCGAACTACCCGCCTCCATCGCTACCGGATCGGGCAATCCGGTCCGAACCGGGAGCATTTCACCCCTGGGCCCTATCCAACAAAATGAAATTTAATGTGGAGAAAAGCATATAGAAATTATATAATTTGGAGGATTGCAACAGATCCTGTTTCAAGTTGGTTGCAGCAAATGATTAAGAGTTAGTGGATAGTGTTTGGTTTAACAAAACTGCAATTCCCTATTTGGTCCCAAGCCTAACCAGTTTCTAGATAGGATAAGATACAAAGTTCTCCCTTGGGCTCAACCAGCATTGCTAAGAAACTGTGTTACGACACAGACATCACCTTCTATGCAATGTTTTTCCACACTGTTAACTTTTCAGCCCAGTTCGGTATCACACAGTGATATATACACACACACTGTAGAGTCACTGGTGACGTTTGAGCCTGGCTTTTGGTTTCTACAAAAGTTTCATTACTTGATGTTACCTAACATAGTACAGGGGAAATTACTCTAAGCCAACCACAAAGCTCAGAAAGCAGCAATCTGTATGTATTCGGTGTAAACATAAGCTGTTTTTAACACAGAGTTTGTTTTCTTGTGAAAGACTTTTTACTAAGACACCGTCTGTGTCAGATTTCAAAACCATACGCACATGGTTACATCCACATCTCCATCATATGGCCCAACCAGGTTGCAGTCCCAACCCCAGTTGGTTTCAGTCCATGCCTCCCCAGCACCTGGTGGGAACGTCCTTGGGTCCCAGGAGAAAGAATTTGATTTTGGCTACAAGTCCCCAGCTGTCTCTACTCCTTCTCCCATTCCCTCCCATTCCCACAGCTCCAACCAGCCTCGCTGTGGCAGCCCTGAAGACGTTCCAAAATGGCTTCAGGCTTGACATTCAGTTCATGGCCTTAAAATTCGTATAGCCTTTTGATATGATCTTTAAGTACTTCCTGTGCATCTTGTATGCGAGATAACACATACACCAGTGGTGAAATCCAAATTTTTTTGCTATCGGTTCTGTGGGCTTGGTTTGGTGGGCGTGGTGTGGTGTGGCTTGATGGGTGTGGCCAGAGAAGGATACTGCAAAATCTCCATTCCCTCCCCACTCCTGGGGGAAGGATATTGCAAAATCTCCATTCCCAACCCACTCTGGGACCAGCCAGAGGTGGTATTTGCCAGTTCACTGAACTACTCAAAATTTCCGCTACCGGTTCTCCAGAACCTGTCAGAACCTGCTGGATTTCACCCCTGACATACACTGTTTCTCAGCTTTGGAAGCCATATTAGCCCCAATGCTGCCACCTTCTCATGTGTGGGAAAGTAAGAGGGGGATTAAGGAGAGGGGTTGTTAGTAGACATAATAGCATTCTTCCTGCTGGTCAAGGTCAGGGCAATCCAGCATCTGGAGAAGGAGTGGTCAGGGGGCTGGGTCGAAATAGAACGGATGTTAATTGGAGCATGTGATCGACTGGGGAGAAAGGGGATGGTTTTGGGGGTTTTGATTTACTGAGGGAAAACCTGGGCTTTTCAGATTCAGGTTTTCCCAGATGTGCCAGTTTGCCTATTCTAGTAGTTTATAGTTTAGTTTATAGTTTATTTGATTTGTATACCGCCCTACTCCCGAAGGACTCAGGGCGGTGAACAGCCAACAATAAAATACATAAATACACAAAATTTAAAAACCCGATAAAATCAAATTAAATTATTTGGCCCAGACAAATTAAAATACCCCAATAATTTAAAAACAGATTAAAATGTACGTATTTAAAAAGGGAAGAGATCAGGCCAAGCCCGCTTGATGGAATAAAAAGGTCTTCACAGCACGGCGGAAGGAGCGCAGATCCGGGATTCTCCGTATCTCCGGGGGGAGCTCATTCCAGATGGTAGGTGCCCCCACAGAGAAGGCTCTCCCCCCTAGTAAAGAGAACTTTGGAAAAATATTTGCTTCTGCATCTTTACTTGGAGTTGGGGTTTTTCTGGAACGCTGCCACTGTTCTTAACATAGAGTTTGTGAATCTTGTGAAATCTTTTTACTAAGACACCATCTGTGTCAGATTTCAAAACCATACGCACATGATTATTAGCTAATGGTAATTTACTGGACTGCTGAATAGATAAACGGACAAGGAAGATAGGAAGGTAAATATTACAGAAGCTCTTAGAAAGCTTCCCTTTTGTATGTTTTTTTTGAAAGGAGTTTCACTTTCAACAAGAATATACAGAACAGAACTCAAAATCAAATCTGAAATCCAGAGAGCCAAGCCAGGTTCGTCATCGCATCCAAAGATCAGAATTTCTATGATTTTTTTGTTTTTACACAAGTAGAGAAACACAGAAAGAATATGTCAGAACAGATCAAATTGTTGTTTCCAACAGAGAAACAGGACAAATCAGTGTTACATCCATTTATGAGCATATAATAACTTTGCTGCAGTTATCCTATATTTTTTTAAAAAGGTCCATCGCTTTCTTCTGGTTGTCTCTTTGTCTTCTACCTTGTGCCTACATTTTGCAGAACATTAGTTGATCTAGGTCTGTTTGAATATACCCAGTTATAACAGCAGGTTCTACTCTCATGCTATTAATTATTAGCTGCTGTAGAAAGTTAGCACCCATCCCTCTCCTAGAAGAATGAAATATTCTAGGACAGTGATGGTGAACCTTTTTGGCACCGAGTGCCAAAAAGGTCGCATGAAAACATCTCATGCGGATGCGCTCGCTCATTGGGGCTATGCTCTGGAAAAGCCGAACTTCCCGGTTCTAGCGCACATGCGCCCGGTGATCAGCTGGCTGGTACACATGCACAGGCTGGTTTTCGGCACTGCCCCGCGCGCAAAGGGATCGTGCTCTGGAAAAACTACTGCAACACTCTCTCTACATGGGGCTCCCCTTGAAGAGCACTCGGAGGCTCCAACTGGTCCAGAATGCGGCCGCGCGGGTGTTTATGGGTGCGAATCAGTGCGCCCACATAACACCCCTCCTGCGCGAGCTGCACTGGCTCCCGGTGGTCTTCCGGGTGCGATTCAAGGTGTTGGTTACCACCTTTAAAGTGCTCCATGGCTTAGGACCGGGATATATATGAGACCACCTTCTGCCATCAACAACCTCCCACCAGCCAATACGCTCCCACAGAGAGGGGCTCCTCAGGGTGCCGTCGGCCAAACAATGCTGACTGGTGACACCCAAGGGGAGAGCCTTCTCCGTGGGGGCACCTGTCCTCTGGAATGAGCTGCCCCTAGAGCTCCGTCTTAATCCCGACCTGCATACTTTTCGCCGCGCTCTTAAGACCCTCCTGTTCCAGCAAGCCAGACTGGCCTAATATGAATTTTATTATCGGTGTATGTGTGTTTTAAATTTGTGGGCCAATTTTATATATTGATTTTAATTTGGTTTTAAATTTTATAAATCTATGTGTTTTAATATGGCTGTACACCGCCCTGAGTCCTTCGGGAGAAGGGCGGTATAGAAATCTAATAAACTTGAAACTTGAAACTTGAAAAGCTGAACTTCCAGGTTCTGGTACGCATGTGCCCAGTGATCAGCTGGCCGGCACACATGCGCACATCAGTTTTTGGCACTGCCGCGCGTGCAAAGGACAGCTTATTGTCATGTGCGCATGAGCACCAGAAATCCGGAAGACAAACAGGCAAGGCTGCGCATGCCAGGCGACATGGCTTTGCGTGCCATTTTGGGCACACATGCCATAGGTTCGCCATCACTGTTCTAGGAGATATTAAAAAGGCAGAATATTATATTTCCCTGGATGAGAAAAGGAGAAACATGTTTTTAAAAACAAAGAGCAGCTCCCTGCTGCTCCCTGCCGCAGGGAGATAATTGGTGCTCATTGAGAAAGACTGGGCCAGCCTATCTACAAGACAAAAGGCCTCCAGCTCCAGGGTGATGGGATTAAGACATGACCCTCCAGGACATACTAGGATTATCTATCAGCAGAGCTCAATACATGGCATAACCAAGCCCCTTCATTGCATCATTCAGCAAGACTGAGTAAGAGTATGGTAAGTGCAAAAAAATGAATTTTAAAAATTGAAAGAAAGTATTTAAAAAGTTAGCAGTGTTGAAAGAAATATCCACCTGGGTTCAGTTCCAAGTTGGGAGAAAGACACTGGAAACATGGATAACCAAACCTATCTCAGACAACCTCAGCTATGACCCCTGCATAGCCCCTTGGGAGTCTGACAGTCAATAGAATATAATGCCCTTGCCACAGGAACAGGAAGCTCAAGGGCAAGGCCCAAGAGAGGGTATAAATAACACTCACTCTCCACTTCATGTGGTCAGTTACCCAGGCGGTTCTGCTTCACCAATAAACCATCTTTCGAATCAGCCTCCATTTTTCCAGTGTCTTTCTCCCCACTTGGAACTGAACACAGATGGATATTTCTTCCAACACCGCTAACTTTATAAACACTTTCTTTCCATTTTTAAAATTCATTTTTTGCACTTACCATACTGCATTTCTGCTCTGTTGTATTGCATTTTGGCTCAGACTGTAAATATTTTTTTTATTGAAAAGTTTTAAAATGTTTTACAAACAAATTTCCCCCCCTCCTCCCCCCATCCATTCCCTTCTCCCCCCCCCCTGCCCCCCCCCCCGATTTCCCAGAGCAAAATACAGGGTATTGCATTTAACAAACATAATCTAACATAAACAAACTAACTATAAACTCTTAACTCCCCCTTACTCTTTAACTCCTCCGTAAGTACCAAAATGTCAGAATAAAAAGAAAAATCATCTAAATATTTCATTCATAAGTTATTTGCAACTTTTTAGTCCCATATTTGTTTTGTATATAATCAATCCATCTTCTCCATTCCAGTACATATCTTTCATTCGAACGGTCCTTCAAATATGCAGAGATTTTAGCCATCTCCGCCAAATTAGCTACTTTTAATGTCCATTCTTCAATACACTGCTAACTTTTTAAACACTTTCTTTCCATTTTTAAAATTCATTTTTTGCACTTACCATACTGCATTTCGACTCTGTTGTATTGCGTTTTGGCTCAGACTGTAAATAAATTTTGATTGCTTGATTGAAAGCCAGTAAGGATTATTATGCCTTATATTTTGTGTGGACAAAGGAAATTGAATTCCATAAGAGCACAAATCTTTTCAGACATTTTGACAATCAGGAAAAAAAAATTGAGCGTGTTTGCTTTTGATAATTGTATTTCCTCTTACATTACAGTGTCCCAGATTGTCCATTTTATCCACAGAACTTTTCTAAACAAGAAAACAACAGTTTTCGCACAATGAAGCAACAATTTAATTATTCGGATTCAGAAGGTATGAACAGTATGAAAATTATATTATATAGAATTTCTTTTCCTTTGTGGGATAACGTGACTGATAACGAAAAGAACTCAAAGGTTCATAATGCTTTGTGAGCTTATTCGAATAAAATTGAAATTTTAGCACCGAATTCCTCTTCTCCCATCCATCCTGGGATTAAGACAGCATCAACATTTTGAAGCCATTCCATGAATGCATTTACAAAATGTCTTCTGGAAGATTTTTTTTTATTCACAAAATAAAATAAAAAATAAATAAATAAAAAAATAAAATAAAAAAATAAAAAGCTTTCATGGGGAATGTAAGAATGCTAACATGGGCAAGGGTGGTATTCAGCCGGTTCGCACCAATTCAAGCAAACTGGTAGCGGCAAATGCAGATGGGTCCACCCACCCGCCCAGGCTCCAAGTCATGTTATTTAGGCATGTTTTTGAAGTCGGGTGCATGCACGAGCAAGCAAAGTGCATGCGTGGAAGTCTGGCCACATGCACAGACAGCACGCGTGTGCAGGGACCTGGAGGGAAAGATAAGTGAAACCCATCCCTGAATACAGTGATATCTGCAACATTTCCTGTATGCAACATCATCCCAGAATTGTCCTTCAGAAAGACACAAGGGATGAAATCATCCTCAATGTACTTTAAGAGAACTTAGAGAGAAAATATATATATATATATATGATTGGCAGCAGTGGTGAAATCCACATTTTTTTACTACCGGTTCTGTGGGCGTGGCTTGGTGAGCATGGTGTAGCTTGGTGGGCGTGGCAGGGGAAGGATACTGCAAAATCTCCGTTCCCACCCCACTCCAGGGGAAGGATACTGCAAAATCTCTGTTCCCACCCCACTCCAGGGGGAAGGATACTGCAAAATCCCCATCCACCCCCACTCCTGGGGGAAGGATATTGCAAAATCTCCATTTCCACCCCACTCTGGCGCCAGCCAGAGGTGATATTTGCCGGTTCTCCGAACTACTCAAAATTTCCACTGCTGCTTCTCCGAACTGCTCAAAATTTCTGCTACCGGTTCTCCAGAACCTGTCAGAACCTGCTAGATTTTACCCCTGATTGGCAGTCCAGAAACATTTCTGAAAATGAAGGAAAAACAAGGGAAGAAAAATTTTCCTTTCAAGGTGATTTTGTTTTATAATTAATTACCAGGTTAAATATTTCTGGGGCAGGCATCTTAGAAAGCATCAGAGAAACAGATTATCCACCAGTGACTCTGTGGGGTGACCACAGGAAAAAGTTATTGAGGATTCTTTTATTTATTTATACACAGACCCAGACATAGAGACATAAAAATAAAATTGTAACTGTGGAAGATGTTTTTTAAATATATATGCATTTTGACAATAATCATAATTTTCTGTAACTGAATCCTTAGATTATAACAGCTCCCTCCGTGTCTGGCCAACCTACTATGAGATGTAAGTATTTTATGGTACAAAGTGTTTTCTTTGTAGTAATGAAATTAGCCTTCTGCTGTGGCCTGCCAGCTACCAGCAGAGCTGGAGCCAGACTCAGATGATGAGAAGGTTGGGAAAGAACTTGGGCCAGTTCTGAAGCCTGGGAAAGGCTCTGATGGATGCTCAGCATCAGACACAGAGATAGAACCAGGGCTGTCCAACATTTCCCAGCCACCGGAGAGGCAGCTGCCTTTGGAGGCTGCTATGAGTGAGGAGGAAGAACAGCTGGGGCCTGTTCCAGATGGCTGTATGCGCAGAGCTGTTAGGAGAAGGAAACAACTGAAGACAAGGAGTCAGCTTGGGAAGCAAGGCACACGTGGACACTGAGTGGCCCCTCCCTGGCTGGGGAATAAATAGAAGGAAAGGGGAGTGGTTGTCGTAGGAGACAACAGTTTATATTTCTGAAGATTTTGCTCATGGTGTTTCGTGCATCAAAGACTGCTTGCCAGAACTTAATTTGCAGACTTTCAGCTGGGAGCTCAGGATCTTGCAATTATCGCAAGGAACTGATAAGGTCTGTTACTGCAGTTAACTCTTCGAAGGACTATTGCTTGGACTTTTTGGTGTGTGAATGCCATTAATTCACAGGAGGTAAGTAAAGAGGGGTTTTTCGTGACAAGGAGTCTTTTTCTTGCTTCTGTTAAGGTTGGGTCAGAACACTTTCCAATTGTTTCATCACATTTCAAAGGAAAAGTCATCCTCTGCTGTGCTCATTGCAGCTGCTGGAACGGGGGCCTCTTCTGAAGGATAGAGGTTGACCAACTCAACTTGTTCTTAAACCACTTTGGGTGAATGTCCAGAAACATGAGATTCCCAAGTGATTCGATGCGGATCTTTGGATTTAGAGTAGCTGGCAGACAAGGGAAAGCTTCCCAGTGAGGCACTCCTCTCCATTTGAGAATTACTAGAGAATCTCATTGACATGTTGCATGAAGTTACTAGAATCTTGATAATCACAGATTCTGATCTCCTTAAGCAGGGTCCCCAACATGTGGGCCACTGCCCACTAGTGGGCCATGTGGGATTTTCAGCCGGACTGTGGAAACGGCCGGTGAGCAGGCATGCACACACATCCTCACTTGCGTGAGAAGTGGGCAAGCGAGCGAGCGTGCATGCTAACTCATTTAAGTGAGCAACATTCAGTGGTGGGATTCAGCCAGTTCGCACCACTTTGGGAGAACTGGTTGTTAACTTTCTGAGCAGTTTGGTGAACTGGTTGTTGGAAGAAATCATTAGGGCAGAGAACCGGTTGTTAAATTATTTGAATCCCACTACTGGCAACATTTATTCTTACTGGCCACTCACATGGAACTAGAAACGTTGGAGAACTCTTGTCCCAAAGGAAAGATGCAGTAGCACTCAAATGAATAAATCAGAACCCCTGAAGATGAAATAGTTATGTTTAGATACTAGATCTGGTTAGGTATATTACATGAGTCCAGCCTGGAGGTCTCTGTATCTGCATCCACGTTTCCTGTATCACTGCAACTTGGCCAAACAGCTGCATCTTTTCCCTATGTACGGTCCCAATAAGGGTCTAGGACTTTTCGGCTCGGTCTCTTCGCCTTGCCTGTTTTGCCTTGAGGTTTTCGCCTCTGGGTTATTAGCCACAAACTTTTCTCCTCGGCTGGCCCTCTCCCAGGCTTTTGTTGCTTTTGGTTAAGAAATTAATTGCAACTAACTCTTCCCCTTGCAAAAAAATAAAAAAACTAGGCGTGCTTCCCTTTGAACTGGGGGAACGGACAGGGGCAGGAACGGAGTGCTTTTACAATTTCCTTTATTTATTTATTTTTTTATTTTATTATTTTTATATGCTGCCCTTCTCCGGAGACTTAGGGTGGTTTACAATGCGTTAAGCAATAGCCTTCATACTTTTGTATATTTAATACAGAGTCAGCTTATTGCCCCCACAAACCAGGTCCTCATTTTACCCACCTTGGAAAGGATGGAAGGCTGAGTCGACCTTGAGCCTGGTGAGAATTGAACTTGCAGTAATTGCAGGTAGCTGGATGTTAAATGCTGCCTTAGTAGGAGGCATTAGCCTCCTACGCCACTTTCTAAATCTTGAATGGGATGTTTGCCAACATCTCCCCTCTTTTTTGGGGGTGGGAATCAATGCCGTAAATTTTTCATTGTCATTAGTTAGCGATTTGGATATCTGGCCTGAAAAGGGTTCTTCCTTCTCTCGAAAAAAAAGCCAGAGATGGAAGTGCCCCCCCTCCTTCTCCCTCCTTCTCCCTCCCATTTCACTAAGGCTGTTCTTTCCTTCCTTCCCCCTCTAGCTGATTTGTTGGGCCCTAACTGTCCCAGGTATCGAAAAACTTAAGACCGTGATGGCGAACCTATGGCATGGGTGTCACAAGTGGCACGTGGAGACATATCGGTGGGCATGTGAGCTCAGCTTCGGCATGCCTGCATGCGCCGGCCAGCTGATTTTGGGGCCTTCTGGGCCCACCAGAAGTCAGGAAACACACTGTTTCTGGCCTCCAGAAGGCCTCTTGGGGGGTGGGGAAGGCCATTTTCACCCTCCCCAGGCTCTTAGAAAGGTTCTGGAGCCTGGGGAGAGTGAAAAACAGGCCTACTGGGCCCACCGTGCCATCGCGTGCCAAAAGTGGGGGGAGCATGGGGGGGTGAGGTGCATAGAATTATGGATGTGGGCATGCATCTGGTCCAGAGGCTCCAACTGGTCCAGAATGCGGCCGTGTGGGTGGTTATGGGTGCAACTCGTTGTGCCCATGTGACACCCCTCCTGCGCGAGCTGCACTGGCTCCCAGTGGTCTTCCCGGTGCGATTCAAGGTGTTGATTACCACCTTTAAAGTGCTCCATGGCATTGGACTTGGATACCTTCGAGACCATCTTCTGCCACCAGTAGCCTCCCACCGGCCAGTTCGCTCCCACAGAGAGGGTCTCCTCAGGGTGCCATCGGCCAAGTTATGTCGGCTGGTGACACCCAGGGGGAGGGCCTTCTCTGTGGGAACCCCAGCCCTGTGGAATGAACTGCCCCCGGAAATACGTAAGATCTCCGACCTCCGGGTATTTCACTGTGCCCTCAAAACCATGTTGTTCCGCCAGGCTGGGCTATCAATGTAAAGATTTTAATTGGTTTTAAATGGGATTTAAAATTTGAGGTTTTATAAATTGGGCCTATTATTTAATAATTTTAATTATTTTTAAACTTTGTCTGTCTTTGTGCTTTTAATCAGGCTGTACACTGCCCTGAGTCCTTCAGGAGAAGGGCGGTATAGAAATAAAATTAATAATAATAATAATAATAATAATAATAATAATAATAATAATAATATAATAATAATAATAATAATAATAATAATAATAATAATAATAATAATAATAATAATAATAATAATAATATTCATTCACTGGAAATTGTGCCAGAAGTTTGGATTTGAGTACAGCAAAAACCACTGGGAACATCAGATTGAGAAAGTTTTAGAGAATGAGAAACTCAAGATCTTGTGGGACTTTAGATTCAGACTGACAGGCACTTGGTCCACAACACACCTGACATAACAATAGTTGAAAAGAAAAAAGTATGGTTCATTGACATTGCAATACCTGGTGATGCACGAATTGAAGATAAGCAGCAAGAAAAAATCACAAAGTACCAGGACTTGCAAATTGAAGTTGAGCGACTGTGGAAAAAGAAATCGTGTGTTGTCCCGATTGTAATTGGAGCCCTCGGAGCAATACCCAAAGGGCTACCCTGCTATTTAGAAATTCTAAATTTGCCGGACTTGAACATTTTGACTCTACAAAAAACCACCTTACTCGGAACAGCTTACATCCTCCGACGATACCTTAACAGTTCCTAGGTCCTTGGTTAGGACTCGAGCTGCTGAGCTATTAACCAGCCTCAAAGGCTGTGAATCTCACTAAAGATTAACCAATAATAATAATAATAATAATAATAATAATAATAATAATAATAATAATGATGATGATGATGATGATGATGTGTGTGTGTGACCCCACTGTGCTCCCTCCGCTTTTGGCACGCGATGGCAAAAAGGTTAGCCATCACTGACCTAAGATGAAACCTCCTTCTGTGTATGGGTTTGCTGCGAAGCGCCTGGGAGGGAGTGGCTGTGGCCATTGTGCCGTGGCGAAAGACCGGCAGAGGGCCAGCCGAGGAGAAAAGTTTGTGACTAATAACCCAGAGGCAAAAACCTCAAGGCAAAACAGGCAAGGCGAAGAGACTGAGCCGAAAAGTCCCATTCCGTCCCAATAACTATAGATTGTGGCTCTATTGTTAACTGGATTCCCTTAATTAACTTTCTCCTAGGTCAGTGATGGTGAACCTTTTAGACACCAAACTGTGCACATACGCATGCCCAAACTGAAAATGCGTGGACATGTGTGCATGTGTGCATGCATGCACATGCATGGACATGCATGAACGTGCATATAATAATAATAATAATAATAATAATAATAATAATAATAATAACAACAACAACAACAACAACAACAACAACAACAATAATAATAATAATAATAATAATAATAATAATAATAATAATAATAATAATAATAATAATAATAATAATAATTTTATTTCTATACCGCCCTTCTCCCGAAGGACTCAGGGCGGTGTACAGCCAATTTAAAAACACAAGACACAACAATGATTAAAAATTAAAATAATTAAATAGATTTGGCCAGTTTAAAACCCAAAAAATTTAAAATACCCCAATTTAAAATCATTATGTTGATAGCCCGGCCTGGCGGAACAACAGGATCTTCAATGCGCAACGAAACACCCGGAGGTCGGAGATCTTACGCATTTCCGGGGGCAGTTCATTCCACAGGGCTGGGGTTCCCACAGAGAAGGCCCTCCCCCTGGGTGTCGCCAGCCGACATAACTTGGCCGATGGCACCCTGAGGAGACCCTCTCTGTGGGAGCGGACTGGCCGGTGGGAGGCTATTGGTGGCAGAAGTCGGTCTCGAAGGTACCCGGGTCCTATGCCATGGAGCGCTTTAAAGGTGGTAACCAGCACCTTGAATCGCACCCGGAAGACCACTGGGAGCCAGTGCAGCTCGCGCATGAACGTGTGTGGGCGTGCGTCCATGCTCAGCAGAGACCCGAAAACCAGGTGGCCAGAAGGAGATGGGGCATCCCAAAACTGGCAGCGGTGCAAGAGATAAGATCTTTTTCTTTCGTGAGCATCTGTTTCTTCGTTTTCAGGGAAACAGAAGCTCACGGAAGAAACGCCACGGAGATCTGACCTGCGGCAATGGCGCACATGCCAGCAAAGAGGGCTCTGAGTGCCATCTTTGGCACATGTGCCATAGGTTCACCATCACGGTCCTAGGTTGGCACTGTTGTCTGTTGTCCCCAGATTTAGGGATGTGTCCTATATAATCACAGCATGTGAAGAATGAGAGCAGAAGAGGTGCCCATCATAAGTAATTCTATTTCAGCATTCAGGGATTTCTGCAAGAGAATAGAATAGAAAATTGGAGTGGAGTGGAGTGGAGTGGAGTGGAGTGGAGTGGAGTAGAGTAGAGTAGAATAGAGTGAGAGTAGAGTAGAGTAGAGTAGAGTAGAGTAGAGTAGAGTAGAGTAGAGTAGAGTAGAGTAGAGTAGAGTAGAGCTTTATTGTCACTTTAAATGTACACTAATCGGCATACATTAAAATGAAATTACGTTCAGCTCTCAAAAGATAATCAAGGACTGATTCTCTTTTTGCTTTTTTCCTGTTCACAGGAGTCATGACTGGACGGAATATTTTAGAACTCTTCCTCTGTTTGATGTTTTAACGCGAAACCTTATCAATGGCTCCATTGCCATTATTTGTATTTTAGGCCTGATTGGAAATGGAGCAACAATTTATTTTTTGGTCTATTCCATTAAGAGGAATTCTTTCACCACTTTCATCCTGAATCTCTCCATCGCTGATTTTGGGGCACTCACATCCTTTATTATTGCAGCTACATTTGTGGCTGTTTTAACTCTCCATAAAAGGACTAACCTTCTGGCAGTCTTTTTCATGTTATTTTTTGAGCTGTTCCTCTTCACCTATTCTGCCAGCCAGTTTCTGCTGACAGCCATCAGCCTGGACAGGTGTGCGGCTGTCCTCTTCCCACTCTGGCATCGCTGCCATCGTCCTCCATATTTGTCCATCCTGGTTTGTGGCCTCATCTGGATCCTCTCCTTCCTGCTCTCTGCGGTGCACTTCATTCTCCACCAGACCAGGAACTCTGAAAGCTCCCCTTTATTTTATCAGCTGATTGTAAACGGTTTACTTTGTACGCCTCTCATGGTTGTGTCCACGGTGATTCTCTTGATTCAAACGAAGTCTAAAATGCAATGCAATCAAAGGAAACTGGTCACCACCATCGTGCTGGCTCTCATTTTCTTCCTCCTTTTTTCTCTCCCAATGGATGCCTTATATGTCATTGAATATTTAGGTTCCTATAATCCCCTCCTCCTGACCATTGGGGTAGGATGTGCGGCTGTCAGCAGCAGCTTCAACCCACTCCTTTATTTCTTAGTGGGGAGGAAGACGGGAAAGGAACAACCCAAAACATCTTACAAGGTTGCTCTGCAAAGAGTCTTCAAGGATGAGAAGGACAGCTCAGAACAGCAGCAAACCATGAAAGAAGACCAGTTGTGAAGTATCAATACTGTTGTTCATTCAAGTCATAAACCAGGGGTGGGTTTACTACCGGTTCGCAACGGGGCTGCGTGCGCATGCTCACTTCGCTCATCCAGGCGCGCGCTCTTTTGCACAAGCGCAGAAGCTTCTGCGCATGTGCAGAAGCATTTTCATTGTGTCAGGGTCAGTGGGTGGAGCCTCCCACCAGTTTTACTACCGGTTCTATAGAACCGGTGTGAACCGGGAAGAACCCACCACTGGTCATAAGCAATATATTGTTCAGAAAGAACATGGGAAATTAATGTAATTTAGGAATCCGAATAGCAAAAATGGAAACCGTGCTGCATATGTAGTTTCTAGAAGTGAAGAAGAGACGTTCATATCATATCTTGACATTATATAATTCAATCACATTTCATAATAATTCGCCGTGCTCTCAAAACTTTTCTATTTCAGCAGGCTGGCCTGGCCTAACTCTCCTCTTTTGAATTTTTAATTCATGATTTTATAAATTGAGTGTTTTAATCTGTGTTTCGGCCAAAATATTTAATAATTTTAAGGGTTTTTTTTAATATTTGTATTATCTGTATTTTATCTTGGCTGTTCACCGCCCTGAGTCCTTCGGGAGTAGGGCGGCATAGAAATTTGATTAATAAATAAATAATAAATAAATAGTAACAATTACTGCTGTATTGTGTATTGTGTATTGTGGTGGAATACCTGGCTAGAGTAGAGGGAGGAATGAAGATGGGGTGTAGTTTGGAGGAAGCGACAGAGATCAAAATCTTGAAGTTTTTATATGCCTGTTCCCCAAAAGAATGCAGTCTGTCTGGTAAAAGTATGGAGAGGTTCTCAGTCATTCAGGTCATGGTTGTCCCAGAGGTGCTTTTCCAGGAGGCAACTGGACTTCCTTGCTTTTTTTCTTTTGAAGATGTTTCACTTCTCATCCAAGAAGCTTCTTCAGTTCTCCCCACTATCCTGTCAATGCTGAAGAAGCTTCTTGGATGAGAAGCGAAATGTCTTCAAAAGAAAAAAAAAACAAGAAAGTCCAGTTGCCTCCTGAAAAAGCACCTTTGGGACAGTCAGTCCGGTAAGATCTTCGATCAACAATAAAGAAACTATTTTGGCCTACTTATGTACGTGTTTTGGTTCGTTGCCCCTGAAATATATGAGAGTTTAAATATACCTAATTTTTAGCATGATAAATTATTGCCTTTATTATGTTTCTCAACCCATTGTCCCCATATTTCATATTTTAAAATATTGTTGTATAATCAATATTATCATAATTTGGACTTTTGTTTTTCAAATTAAAATGTCCATACATTTATTATCAAATCAAAAGGTTATCAGTACATTGGAGAGGTTTACATATGTATTTTTTGAAGCACGTTTATTAGATTATATATTTGAATATGAGTGAATTATAAGCAATATCTTCTTCAAGACAGATTTTTTTTTTTTGCTCAAGATCTGATGATTGTTCCTCAGTGAGGAAAAATCCCAGCCTTTTAATTTGTTTACTACTCGGTGGAGGCAGCCAAGTAAATATTCCTCGAAGGGGTTTTCAAAGATTGGCTAAGCTACCCAGAAGAGCAGAAAAATATTAAGGAAGACTATTGGTCATGGCTCCTTAAGCAGATAAAAGACAGCACCTGATATATATTGGAAACAGTGGCGGGTTGCTACCAGTTTGCCAGCGGTTTGCTGCCGCTACCAGTTCGCATTGGGCGAACTGGTAGCGGCAACAGCGGGAGGCTCTGCCACCCACCCGGATACTTCTGCGCATGCACAGAAGCGTCAGGCACGCGTGCAAGTGAGCGCACATGAGGAAACTGGTAGCAAACAAAAGTGAAACCCACTACTGATTGGAAATGTTTTAACTCAGGGTTCCCCAACCTACGATCCATCAACCGGTACCAGCCTGTGACCCATTGTGAACCGGTCTACACAAGCTGTGGTTGTCAAGGTTCCGACGGATGCCCTAATTAAATCATGAGCCTCGAGCCAAGCTTCAAAAGAAATCCAGTTATTTATTAGGAGCTTCATGTCGGACATTCCCAAGTGAAGCCAGCTCTGACCCCACGTAATTTACGGCCCCAATCATGCCCCCGTTTCCTCCCCTTCCCCAGGGCATGTCATCAATCACATTCACCAACAGGCCAATTTTGTGGGTTGTAGAGACCACTCCCCTCCTGCCGCTGTAAGTAACCCTGGGATACAGCCTTGAGAGATATAAGCCTGAAATGTGCATCTGCCTTTGGCTCCCATGCCATTTCATCAGTTTCCCATCCCCCCTTTCCTATGGCAACTCAAGAGCAGGACAGGGATGCTTTGCAAGTTGACAGTGGGTTAGTGTGCAAAACTTCATTTGTGTAAGTGGCGGGCACACACACAAAACCATCCTCTCCCCACCCCCTCTGGTCCTTGGAGCCAGAAAGGTTGAAGGCCGCTGTTTTAACTCACAATTTTATTTAATAGAACAATATATGAAGTCACAAAAGTCATGGACATTGAAAGGAAATAGGAAAGGAAAAAAGCAAAACTTGTTGTAAACAGTGTTTTCTTAAATAAAATGTGATATTCAAAATCCTGAAATTTTCAGACACTATATTGTTCCATTTTATTTCATAATGAAAGATTATTTTGAATTATGATTTCATTGCCTTTTCTGTTTTGGACTATACTCTGAAATATGCAGCTTCTTAATCTTATTTATTGCAATTTGGCGCAAAGCCTTATTGACATTTCAAGTCCTTATTTCTAGCTGGAGGCAACTTCACTGTGTAAAGTGTTGGTATGGTGGAATCTTAGTAGACTTTCCTTCACATTCGTTAAGCCCATTTTGGGTTGTATTCTGCCTGGCTGCTTTTGAGGCAGATTGAATAATCATGCCCCCATGTTGGCTGTGAGTTGGAGAATGAGTCATATTCGTGACAAATCATGTTGGAAGCTCCTGGCTGAATCTTAATGTAGACTGGTTTGGTTCAGCAACCCAACAAGACAGACACCGACTTCATAGGATAATTAGAACTGCAGAAAAAACAATGGCTACCAACCTGCCTTCCATTGAGGACCTGTATACTGCACGAGTCAAAAAGAGGGCTGTGAAAATATTTACAGACCCCTTGCATCCTGGACATAAACTATTTCAACTCCCACCCTCAAAATGACACTATAGAGAACTGCACACCAGAACAACTAGACATAAGAACAGTTTTTTCCCCAAATGCTAAACAAATAATTCCCTCAACACTGTCAAACTATTTACTAAGTCTGCACTACTATTAATCTTCTCATCGTTCCTATCACCCATCTCCTGCCACTTATGACTGTATGACTGTAACCTTGTTGCTTGTATCCTTACGATTTATATTGACTGTTTCCTAATATGACTTGATTGCTTATTTGTACCCTGTGACTATCATTAAGTGGTGTACCTTATGATTCTTGATGAATGTATCTTTTATTTTATGTACACTGAGAGCATATGCACCAAGACAAATTTCCTGTGTATCCAATCACACTTGGCCAATAAAGAATTCTATTCTATTCTATTCTCAACCAAACCCTGCGAAGTTCTACCCATAGTTGCTATGAAGATCACCTCTCTACTTCTCTTAGGATATAACTAGACAATTTATTAATGTATTGGTCCTATGACCATATTAAAAGTTTCCCTTAAGAGTTCTTGGTGGCTGAATTGGGACATAAAGTAGCTCTTTTTTAATCTAACATCTTTGTCAGTGTGTATATTTAGTAACATATAAATCAGGGTTTATCACTCTGGTTTAATCAGGGTTTTCACTCACATGAGTACACCATAAATGGCTATCAAATTGGATCTTTGGTTGCTCTTCACTCTCTTCCTCCTCTTTGAAAACTCTCTGGAGGTTAATTTTTAGGTTGAACGTAGAATGGTGTTCCTTCTTTCTCCCCAGCAAAAAATAGATCAGTGGGTTAACACTGCTATTTAGACAGGCACATAAGTAGCCATAGGTAAATAAATTGAAATACTTTTCATTGGAAATCAGGTTGATGAGATAAATGATGATTGGCGGAAACGAAAAGATGAGGAAGAAAAGCAAGGCAAGCAAGATGGCTTTGAGAAGCTTTCCTCGCCTCTTCATTTGTGATTTAAGGAAGCCTTTGAGGAAGAGGGCCAGGCTGGAGGTCACCATGAGTGGGGCCCATATGAAAATGGTATATATAAAAATGTGGTAGGATTGGCGGATGCTTCGAGGGCCTTTAACTAAAATCAAAGTGTAATGAATTGCACAGAAGGAAAAAGAGACAGTCCATGTAATGGCACAGAGTATGGTGGAGAGGTGTGGTGGCTGATGATATCGATGCCAAATTGGGAAGAAGACAGCCAAGCACCGGTCAATGCTGATGATTGTCAGAAGAAACTGACCAGTGCAGAAAGTCCATACTAAACATTCTATGATTTCTAGGTTGGAATTTTCAGTAGTTATGTGCCAAATTGCGGAAGTAAATAGGAATACAAGAGTCCCACTGTCAGCCACAGCCAAATTGAGGATATAGATGGTGAAAGGAGTCCTCTTCATCTGGGAATGCAAAACTCGGATGACAGTTCCATTCCCAATAATTCCTGGAATGCAAATTAAAACGATTAAAGAATGGATGACTTTTTTCTGATAGTCAGGCTGATAAATGTTGGCCTCCGATGATATGTCATCAGTGCCATTGTGTTCAGTATAATTGACTGTCAAATTTCCCATTTTAGCATCCGTTACTCCAGGAAAGATGGTTATCATGTTGGTTGTCTTCTTCTATGGAAATGGATCTTTTTTTAGTTTTATTTTTTTTTGTTTGTTTTTGCTTCTTGTGGAAGGATAATGATGGATCCAGACAGCTAAAGAACAAACCACTCACCCTTATTTTAGTCAACAGAGATCAAGTGTCATTTGCATCTATTTTGATTTTTCCAAGAATCAAGGTGGAAGATGTGAGGAATTTCACAGAAACCTTCATCTGAAGTCACTTGGATTATGCTTTTGCATATTTCCTCATACAAATACTTTTGATTTCTGCTCAAGGAGGCAACAGTGGTAATATCAGAAGATTATTATTCTCTTCTGTCAGTTTTGAGTCATTCAAGGTCAGTTCATCATCTGACATGTATAATTTTTTGGGAGAAGTAATGAAGAACTTGGCTCCCAGAAAGGACGTGGTTGACCTCAGTGCCTTTCTGTACAAGCGAAGCAGAAATGATTCATGGAGGACAGTTTGCTTGATCACTTTGTCAGATAAAAGCAGAAATATTTTTCCATTTTGTGGGGAGTTTGTTTCCTCTGGTTCTTCACAAGAACTGTGTAAAATCAAAAGCAAAAAGAATACAATGTTCATATGATCACTCTGATGGCATACAACATAGTATGGATCAGTGGTGGGTTTCAAATTTTTTTACTACTGGTTCTGTGGGTGTGGCTTGGTGGGCGTGGCATGGGCGTGGCAAGGTAAGGATGCTGTAAAATCTCCATTCCCTCCCCAATCCAGGGGAAGGATACTGTAAAATCCCCATTTCCTCCTGACCAGCTGGGACTTGGAAGGCAGAGAATAGATGAGGGCAGG